TGATGAACCCGACCTATACTCAGAGCAGTAGTTACTCTAAATACCAACAGAGAGGGAAAGAGTCTTCACATCAAGTATCAATGCTATCCCCTCTGTACACAGGGTAGATAGGAATGGGCAACTTAGACATTGGCTACCTAAAATGAGGGGGCAATAAAGGCACTAAGTGACAGCTTAACAGTATGGGGGTAAAGAAAGTCCCCACTAAATAGATGTCATCTTGTCTAGATGGGTCTGGTGAAAAGAGATGGGGATAAGATTCAGTAGTGAATAATTGTTATCATGACAAATTGCAACTGTCACAACTGTAAAGGTAGAAGTTTTGTAACAAAAAAAGGGGAGTGGTTAATCTTACAGTCCAAAAACAGAGGGCCCTAGGACCATTAAGAGAGGAATGCACAAATAGAATGCGGGACCTTATCCAGAGAAGTAGCAGCGCCAAAGATGGAGGCAGAGATGGGGGCATGGAAATGGGGAGTAGCTGAGGACTCTAGATTCATGGACTAAGAAGAGAGGGACTTACAGCTAGTAGCCATGAGGCAGACTTGCAGAATGTGCCCTTTGGAGATGTAAATTATTATATATGTCTGAGTGGGGTTTTTGTTTGTTTGTTTGTTTGTTTTTAAAAAGCTAAAGTGGATAGAGAGAAAAACTGTAACTGATGGTACATGGAGGGGATTATAATCATTGTAATGAAACAAGGTGTATGATTTGTTGAATGTAAAACTGATGATATGCCCTGTAAAGTTCCACTCAATCTACAATAAAAACCTTAAAAAGTAAATAAATAAATAAAATGAAACATTCCAAGATGGTTACAGGGGTGGGAGTGGGGAGTTATTCCCGAGTTAGAAGGTAGACACATGTTAACATGGGTGACAGGGCAGACAATATATGACAAAAAAGAGGTTGATAAAGGAAAGATGACGGTTGCAGGAGACACAGGAAGGAATGCAAGAGTTAAAGGAAACAGAGACAAGTTCCATTAGCTGATGGTACCTGGAGGGGATTGCAAACATTGTAATGAAGCAAAGTAGTATATGATTTACTGACTGTAAAACTGATGATCCGCTCTGTAAACCTTCACTCAATTCACATAAAAAAGTTTTAAATAAGTAAATAGCAAACCAAAGCATTTTTGAAACCAAAATAACCCCAGAAAGCTAATTAGCCTTACTATATACATATCTTACAAATTAATAATATTTAAAATGTTTGAATATGCAAAATACATTAATTTTTTTTTTTAAATACAGTTGGCCAATGAACATATTTTTTAAAGTTTAATTCGGCTAATCCTTAAAGAATGGCAAAACATGAGAAGCTGTTTTTACCTATTGGTTGGTTGTGTGCCATTGAGTCAGTTCTGACTCATAGCGACCCTGTATAGAGTTTCTGAGGCTGTAAATCTTTGTGGAAGCAGAAAGCCTCATCTTTCTCCCATACAGCAACTGGTAGATTTGAACTGCCGACCTTGCGGATAGCAGCACAGCTCGTAATTCACTACGTTAGTGGACAAAAATTTTGAGGCAGTAATATGAATTCACAGAAAGACTGGCCTCTGATACATTGTTGGGAGCATAAACTGACTATGTGGTAACATATAGTTTTAAAACAGCCCTTCTAGGAATTTCACATTTAAATTTTTTCAAAGATAGAAAGTGAAATTCATTTACAGATTTGATTCCCAGATTTTCATAGGATCTGAAAATGTCCTAAAAGTAGATTAACAACTATATCAATTATGACGCATTGATAACATGGAGTGGCACAAAGTCAGAAAGGTTTGTGTACGGGAAAATGCTCATGATATTGAAAAAGGGAACTAAAATTGTATGGGCCCAATCTTGTAAACAAGATATACATATATGTAGAAAATGTCCAAGTCAAAAAAAAAAAAAAAAAAAAAGCTGAAATGTTATTAGTAATTCTATCTAGACAGCAGGATCATGAGTAGATTTTCTTTATACATTTCTGTTTTCTAAAATTTCTATAATAAACTATTTTACTTTTCTAACCAGAAAAAAATGCTATTTTAAAAAAGTATGACATAAAATTATGTTCTCATGATTTCTAACTCATTTTCATATTTACATTTTAAATGATGGTTGTCATTGCTGTTAAGTGCTGTCGAGTTGGTTCCAACTCATAGCGACCCTGTATAGGGTTTCCAAGGAGCAGCTGGTGAGTTTGAACTGCCAACCTTGTGGTTTACAGTCCATTGCTGATCCTACAGTGCCACACCAGGTATCCTTTAAATGATTGGTAATGGTGGTAGTGGTGATTTTGTGCCATAGGGTTCATTCCGACTCATAGTGACCCTGTTTAGGGTTTCCAAGGCTATAAATCTTTACAGGAGCAGAAAGCTTCATCTTTCCCCTATGGAATGACTGGTAGTTTTGAACGGCTGACCTTGAGGTTAGCAGTCCGATTCCTAACCACTATGCTACCAGAGCTCCTTTAAATGATTAGCTAAAGATATTAAGAAATAACAATGATTACTATGGATTGCACATTTTCAATAAGTACATTTTACCAACTCTATCTTCAACATAATTTTCCCCTTGTTCTGAGAACTGCCATTATTTCTATAAGTAACCTGTATGTGCTACAAAATTATTTCTTAAGAATTTGAGTCTTCATTGTTCTCTTACCATCCTTATAGTACAAAGAGACCAACACTTTAATCAACATCATACTGGAAGTTCAGCCCAGGTCATCTTCAGGTGGAGAAGGGAAAAGCAATGATGAAATTGTCCAAGAACTTGTTGCTTCTGTCCTGGCCAGAGTTCCAGGTAATAATTCTTAGCGTCTGTATGCATTGGTAATTTTACCAAACTCACTGAGCTAAGTAATAAGCAAGTGTTCAACCATGCTTATTATATAGAGACTTTTCTTTACTTGTTGAATTCTGAACATGGAACTTTCCATTTGTAGACAAGAGTAATAGATCAACCACCAGAAGTATTAGAAGCAAACTGTATTCTAATCTAATGTAACTTTAATCAGACCTTTTCCTGAGTTTCCCTTGCTTTATTATTCTAATGTCTCCAGACCTGCATTGTCCTGATGATTTTACTTAGGGGGTCTGTCCTGTTTGGTGAAAGCATTGAAGGCTGCAGAAAGCATCAAAAGAAAATGAAAAGTATACAGAGAGTCACTGATCCATTCAAAAGAATGGTTACTGGAGTAAAGGGCTTTGTTAATATTGAAGTAAACTTAGTGGGTTATTTCAGAAAGTAATTTTTAATCAATGAAATAAGATGGAGGACTTGGTGGAAAGGGATGAATAGATGGGTGGATGACTCAAGAGATAATGTAATCCTACAGATAGATAAGAGATTTCTCTCTCCAAACATCCTAAAGCCTGTAGTTTTACTGGGAAATCAGTTAAACTGTGTGAAGCTCAGTAATGGGATAAATGCGAAATCCCCATCATCTCTGACTCCCACCAACAGTCCTTTCTCTCCTAGGTGTGAGGTATTCGAGGAGGTATTCGGGAAAGAGTATGGTCTGCATACCTACATGGCGGAGGGAAGGACTCTGCCCCCTCTGGTCTCAGTATGTCCCTGTTCTTACTTGGGACTGAAGATTTAGTGAAATCTGCAGTGACTCCCACCCAGGCTCACCTTTCTGTGCCCTGCTGCAGAGCCTCCTGACCCACTGCTGAAACTCTTTCAGGCAAAAACCCCATTCAAACTGGAAGATACCACTGGGCCACATTGACTTCCCACTTCATCCTTTTTCCTCTCCATCCCTCCCACTTCCTCCCACAGTTAACTAGATTAGCCCAGCCAGCCTCTAGTATTTTACTTAAACAGTTAAGGACTTCCTTCCCCTATCCCAAGACCATAGACCACATACAGACATGCAGAGAAGATGAAAATAGGTGTGAGGAAAATGCTTCAAGGTGAAAAAAACGTTTGAAATAGATTAGACAGATAGGTAGATAGACTGTTGTTGAGTTCTGCCAAGTCAGTTCCAACTCATAGCAACCCTGTATAGAGTTTCTGAGGAGCAGCTGGTGAGTTTGAACCACCATCCTATGGTTCAAAGTCTAATGCTGATCCAACAGTGCCACACCAGGACCCTAAATAGATAGCTAGATAATCAATTCTTGGTATGACTAAATTTAAGCCTGATTTTCTGTGACTGCTTCTATAATAAGCAATGTTTAATTGCCGAAGAGCTCTAAATTACAGAAATTTTGTCAGATTTAAGCACTGTATATGTGACTTGATAACAAAAGAATTCAACTGTAAAATGTTAAGATAAGCACATTAAATAAACAAGTTATGAGGACAGAAATCAGTGATGACTAATGTGAGGAATCAGCTGTGTGTGTTTCAGAAACACTGGAAATGGAGGGTGCTTCGGAGAGCCTTTTCATCAAGGATTCTCAAGGTCGCCTGAACTCCTTGACCACTGTTCTTGGACAGGAAGTGGACCGGTTTAACAATCTGCTGAAATTAATACATGTATGAGAGCTTATTTCCATCATTGCTATTGGGTATCAGAGTTTTGTAGAAAGTTGTGTAATAATACGAGAATGCTTAGAATTTTCCATTTTTGTCACTTCAGCTTTTCTATTTGTGTTTACTAACATCTCTTCAAAACTAACTTGTCTAATACTGAATTAATCCTCCTCTAATGCCATACAATAAGCACTGGACTGCAAAACACAAGATCTGCAGCTTGAGCCCACCAGTCACTCCATGGGAGAAAGATGAGACTTTCTGCTCCCACAAAGATTTAAAGCCTCGAAAACCCTACATAGGGTCACTATGAGTCGGAACCAACTCAACAGCACTTAACAGCAAACAACAATGAGTCTGTATTCCCTATTTCTAATGATGAAAGAGCAAATGTGTGACATTACAAATCCTCAGTCTTCCCATCATTTTAACATTTTTTATTGTTGGTTGCCTTCAGTCCATGCGGATTCACAGAACCTTTATGTAGAATAGGACACTATGCAGCCTGGCCCTGCACCATCTCCATGATTGATGGTCTATTTGAGCCCAGTCTTCTTTCAGTCCATCTTATTGAGGGTTTCCTTCATTTTTGCTGACCCTTTTTAGGGATTGGTCCCTCTTGATGACATGGGCAAAGTAGAGGAGTCAAAGTCTTGACATCATCTAAGGAGTATTCTGGCTGTATTTCTTCTAAAAGCATTTGTTGTTGTTATGAGCCGTGGAGTCGGTTCTGACTCATAGTGACCCTGTTCAGGGTTTCCGAGGCTGCAAATCTTTACGGGAGCAGAAATCCTCATATTTCTCTTGTGGGACAGCTGGTAGTTTCGATCTGCCGACCTTGGGGTTAGCAGCCCAATTCTTAACCACTACGCTACCTTAAGGAGTCATGGTGTGGCGCTGTGGGTAAATGAGCCAGACTGCAAAGCCGTTTGAACTGCAAGGTTGGTGGTTCAAGCTCACCAGCTGCTCCTTAGAAACCCTATACAGGGTCACTATGGGTTGGAATCAACTCGACGGCACTTGACAACAACAACAACAACAACGCTACCTTAAGAGCATACACCCTTAGAATTATCGACTCACTAGAAATGTGATCACGGACTTCAGCCTAAGATTAGGAGAAACTCGATGCTTGCTCCTGATTTCTAATTTGCATCTCATCACATAGTCCTTAGGAAGAGTTCCTAAAAAACGTGAGCCACAAAATGCCTGTGTTAGAATCTCTCCTGGTGCGCATTGAAAAATGTAGACTCCCTGATCCCACCTTATCCGGTGCCAAGGAGTCACTTCTGACTCCTAGTGACCCTGTAGGACAGGTTTTCTTTATAGAAGGGGACTGCCACATCTTTCTCCCATGGAACAGCTTGTACTTTTAAACCGCCCATCTTTCAGTTAAGCAGTCATGCAACACCAGGGCTCTGTGACCCCTGCCCTACCCCTCACTCCATCCCATTCCCATTGTTTTTAAGATTGTGACTTAATTGGCTCTGACTTAATTGTTGTTGTTAAGTGCCATCAAGTCGGTTCCCACTCACAGTGACCCTGTATAGGGTTTCTGAGGAGCGGCTTGGAGATTGGAACCATAGACAGTGTGGTTCAAACTGACCTTGTGGTCCAGTGCTTATCCTACAGCACCACACCAGGACTCCTTAGCAACCCTGTATAATGGTCGATGGGTTTCAACCACCAACTTTGTGGTTAGCAGTCCAGTGCTTATCCTACAGCACCACACCAGGACTCCTTAGCAACCCTGTATAATGGTTGATGAGTTTCAACCACCAATTTTGTGGTTAGCAGTCCAGTGCTTATACTACAGCACCACACCAGGACTTCAATCCCATCCTAGACCTTCTAATTCAGAATTTCTTGAGGTAAGGCCTGACTGGAAATATGAATTTTTAAATAAACTTTCCAGATTATTCCAATGAAACTAAAACTTGAGAATAGCCGTTTGTTGCCTTGTCTTATGTTCTCTGAATCTGGAAGACACTAGCAGCTATGCTCACTTACGGGTTCTCCCTGCATTTCAGATAAGTCCTTTACTACCCTTTTACATTTTCAGTGTTTAAATGGAATATTGTTTGGGCTCTGGCTGAGGGTCCCCTTCCTGTACTTGGCTGCCCATGGTTCTGTGGACCCTAAGGACAAATCTAATCATAGCCCTTCTTTTATCCTACTACTCCTCTTGTGGAAAGAGACATGGGAAGGAGGATGGATCACTAAACAGATCTGTAAGGAAATGAAGGGACGGAAAGATGGCTAACGTCACCCATACCCTGTCTGTCTCTGTGACTATGTGCAAGAAGTCCTGGGCTTCATTTTACTTTTTAATTAACAAAATTTGGCCTCAGACATCTTCCTACTAAATTTTCCATATTTGACAGTATTTCTCACATAACTGGAATCCCTGAGGGCCATGACCAGCCCTTGTCCTTGGCCAAGTGGCAAGCATCACCCTGTACTTATGGATGCTGCCAGCCCAGCCACCTCTCAGCACTAATGTCCACTAGTGAGGACAGAATAAGGGTTGTGTCTGAAGGAAGACCCTCTAGTATCAGCTGGAAGATTGATCTTGTATCAGAATCTTCTCCTTTCCAAGGCATCCACTAGGGCTGCAGGCACCCTCTAGGCAGAGATGGCCAGTGGCCTGAGGAGGTTCCCTGCTTGGTTCTCATATCCCTAACCACCAGGCCCATTCTTCCTTTGGCCTGGAGGAGAGGCGAGCAGTCTTGGGAGCCATTCTTCTCTGCTTCAAAGGACCTTCCTCTGCTTTTCCTCTTTCCACTGCTTTGGACTCTGCCATTAACTGCCTCAACCACCCTTTATCCACAAATCTTTTATCTCTATGGTCACATGTTATATATATATATATAAATGCATATAAGATTGGAAGGTCTGAAGAAAGGATGAAACCCAGCAAAAGGGCCCTTCAGCCCTAGGCACACCCACCCTTAAAAGCTGTACCTCTACTACAGTGGGTATCATTCACACTTGAAGGGCAACACCATCTTTTTATTCTTTCAGACTTCTCTGGAGACACTCAACAAAGCCATTGCTGGACTTGTGGTGATGTCTGAAGAAATGGAAAAGGTCTATAACAGTTTCCTCAACAACCAGGTCCCCTCTCTGTGGTCCAACACAGCCTACCCTTCCCTGAAGCCACTAGGATCGTGGGTGAAAGACCTTATTCTGAGGACCGCATTTGTGGATGTAAGAAAATTCACTTCTTTGGGGTTTGATGATTCTGGTTACACTGTTGGACGAAGGGCCTTCAGGAAGTCCTAGCTAACTGAAATGTTGACCACCATTGAGGGATCATCTTAAGCCCAGAGAACCAGAAAAATCTAGAATGATATCACTTAGAAAGTGTTATACTGATTATAATGTAGTTTGCCCAGAAATTAAATCTATGGCATCCTTGGGGCATCAATTCTAATTCATGGGACCCCACTGTGAGGTACAGAAGCAATCAAAGATGGGTAACCTTGATGCTGTCTCCCTCTTTGTTGTTGTTGTTTAGTTCCACCGAGTTGGTTCTGACCTGTATCGACCCTGTATGGGGTTTCTGAATGGTGGCTCGTGAGCTTGAACCGCTGACCTTGTAGTTCAAACTGACCTTGTAGTCTAGCACCTTAACCCACAATGCCACACCAGGACTCATCTCCCTTTTAGGTCCTCAATAATAACCAGATTCTTTGTTTGTGGTCTAAGGAGTTCTGGCAGCATAGTGGTTACGAGTCGGGCTGCCAACCTCAAGGTCAGCAATTCGAAACTACCAGCAGTTCCGCAAGAGAAAGATGAGGCTTTCTGCTCCCGTAAAGATTCACAGCCTTGGAAACCCTGTGCAGGGTCACTATGAGTTGGAACTGACTCCACAGTACTTACCAACAACAACAATGTTTGTGTTCTGGCTGAGTGGGTGATGAAGGGGGGCAAGGTAATCAGTAAGACTGGTTACAGGACCTGAGAGGCCTTCCAGAACATGACTTCTATTTAGATGACAAACTCTTCCTCAGAAATAAGTACATGATGGTATAACGGTTTCTCCTTCAGTTGTGGCTCAAAAGAGGTCAGCCGAAGTCCTTCTGGATCTCTGGTTTCTTCTTTCCTCAAGGATTTCTCACAGGTACCAGTGCTTTCCCTAGAAAACTCTCTCAGAAAAGGGTTCTCTCGGAGTTGGGGAAAAGGTATGGTTGCTAATGGCCTGACAAAGGGACTACTGACTATAGGGCAGTCCAACAAGGCCCTGCTCATCCTCACTCACCAAGAATAAGAATGGCATACATAGCCGATGTTCCCCAGCAACCAAACAGGTTACAAAGTGTGGGTACCACTGCCTGCATGAACGCTCACTGAGCACTCGTTTCCCCAATGATCCAAGCTCAGAGCACCCACTGCTCCCTTCCAGCTCCAGCCCCAACCCCCTTCCTTCCCTCTAAAACAGTTCTTGATGTCCCTCCAGTAAGCTGGCCCAAGGGGACCCCAATTAGGGATTCCCCGAGAAGTCAGTTCCATTGGACAACTAGATGCAAACAGACTCGCCTTTCATCTGCCTCATATGGAACTCTACTAACAGCTCATACATAACAAACTGGACAAGAATCTGAAGTTAGTAAGATTGAGCTCTGAAGCCCCTTCCTCTTGCTCTCACTGTTCCCAGTGTCCAGGCTTCCCCCACACCTCCACAATGACTTGGTGTCCCTCACTGGCAGACACCTACACTCAGATGTGGCCTTCTTCCCTCTCTCCCTAACCCTGACCAAATACTTATATAAGACACAATCTTCCAGAATACAATGTTGATAGTTGTCTTCTCAAGCTCTCAAATGCCGGCACGGCCTACTGGGGCACTGTGGAGAAGGAGGGGGTGAACCCTAGGGTCACCCTTCTAACCAAGCCACAGTACCTCATGCTCAGTCTGAGTAGTACCGTTTAGAGGACTCAGCTTTCTGGTTTTTATATTTATAGGAACGCTTCAGAATCATGCACGGAAATACAATTTACCTATAGACGAACTGAGTTTCAAGTACAACATGATTCCCAGCTATCGGGATCAAGCTGCAGTGATAGAAGCTGCCAAGACAGTGCAGTTTGGACAAGAACTGCCCATGGACATGGAGGTATTAGCCACTTAATTTTTGTCACAAAACAGCTATTATCCCACAGTCATTCTGCATTTCCACCCATTTCTGTTCCCCCATCCCACCCACCCCCCTGTCATTTACTTACTTAGCAAAAAGATGAGGCAAACAGAAATCACACTCTTAACACAAACTCAATTACAACAATTAGACAGGAGCTGCCTAGTAGCGTTTGACAAGAGAGGGTTCACTAACCAATCAGTGTAGTTAGGATGAGTGACTTTTACTACACTTTCCTTAAAATGTTGCAGTATTGGGTCCTGCTTGGTACAGTGCTGTGGGTTAATGCACCAAACTGCAAAGCCATTTGAACTGTTAGCTCAAACGTTTGGCTGTTCAAGCTCACCAGCCATTCCTTAGAAACCCTACATAGGGTCAGAACCAGTCCACGGCACTTAATAACAACTCACTGCTGAGTAACCATGTCAATATCACATTACTCAGATCCTACTGATCTACTTTTTGCCATGATTAGCAAAACTATACAAAGAAAGGTTGGCCCCACGTTTATGGCTTAACCAATGAAGTACTGTAACGCCCTTGTCTGTATCTTAAGATAAGGAAATTTGTTTTGACATCAAAATATCTTTAAAAGTAAGGGGAAAACAAATTTAGAGGTGCAATCTTCTTTATTTTAAGACCTCTCCATTATTTTGAGACCCCTCCTAGCAAGGATGGTGTCTCATGTCAGGAATGATTGAGACTGCGGGAAGGCAGAGCGACACCCACGTAAAAGATGCTAGCCCTTCTATGTAATGCTGGTTGGCCCTAGAGGAGTTGACAGCAAGCCAGAGGGCTGAGGTTTCCCCATCTTCCTGCCTCCTCTCACCAAATGTCTAAAAGAGACAGCAAGAAAATGCCTATCAATAGCTTTATGTCTGTGGTAAGCAGGCAGGGCCACTATTAGCCCATTTGGTGCCTTTACACAATTTAGAAACAGAACTCCCTAGGGGTGGATGCCACCCTGTGGACACACTACTTCACAGATGGCATCTACACATAGCTTAACACACAGATAGCAGGATGGTTCTCAACCTCTGTTAAGCCCAGGCTGCATAAATAGTCCTGAAAACAAGAATGCCAACCCTACCCTGCCATACCCAAGAGACAAAAAGCTCAGGACACCAGGAAGCAAAGTCCAACCCCCCACCACCACCACCAAAAGTACCATCATCTTTTTCCCTGAAAACATGCACTGTCTGGTGTCTGCACTGCTGGGTCCTCTTTCTGCAGTCATGAGACTTCAGTTAGCTGAAGTCCTGGGCCCCAGATCTAAACACTCCTGGTTTGAAGGAGGAGGACATAGGTAGGGGTACCTAAAATTTGTGCCTGAGCCTCTGAAAGCCCAACCTAGTGCCAAGGAGGACAGAAACTGTACACCAGTGGTGACATCCCATCACAGGACACTGAGGAGCAGGGTGTCTCTCTCCATTAATAAAACCCATTAAAGAGCAAGAGTAATTTATTTTTAAAAAAGAGGATTTTTCCACAGGCACTCTGCAAATATTTTTGCAGTTGTATAATCTATCTTCTAGATCTAGAAAGGAACGCAGATCCTTGCAAACCGTGCTAAAACTAATCGATGATAATCCCAGCTCTTTACCCCATCTGCTTCCCATGAGAAGGGTAAAAGCAATTACATGATAACAGCAGATAGTCTGAAGCCCAAAAGTGGGCTTCCCAGACAGTGTGTCCTGACAGACATCCTGGAGGAGTGTGAGAAGAATGAGCTTTGGTGTCGAACTGAAAAGCCAGTTATGTAGCCTCTCAGTAGCATCCTCGATGAAACTAAGAGCATTAACCATCTAGAGAGTGGTTTTTAGAATGAACTGATAAAGGTGTGAACACAGAACATGGTTCTGTTCATGTTGAGCCCCTTCTTCTCCTCTCACCTTTAAATTTCTGGGTATCTTTTAGTTGCCCTCTCCTGAAGATGGAGTTCTTGTTCATGGGATGTTCATGGATGCTTCTCGATGGTAAGACAAGGAGATGGTAATAGAAGATGCATTGCCCGGACAGATGAATCCAATGCTGCCCATGGTGCATTTTGAACCGCAACAGAATTACGAGCCAAGCCCTACTCTTTACCACTCCCCACTTTATAAAACAGGAGCCCGGGCAGGGACACTGTCAACTACAGGTGAGATGTTCTAAAATCAGCACAAATAATGACCTAGTACACGCCAAAATCTAAGTCCAAACACAAGCTGTAATGTACAAAGGGGAATCATAGGCCAACTGACCAGGTTTAACATGAAGTCTGCAATAGCATACACAGAGTCCTGGTGTGGTGCTGTAGGATAAGCACTGGACTGCTAACCTCAAGGTTGGTGGTTCAAACTCCAGCTACTCCTCAGAAACTCTATACAGAGTTGCTATGAGTTGGAACCAACTTGACAGCACTTAACAACAATATGCACATTTATAAATGTTCTAAATTCTGTTTGTTCTAATACTGAGTGTAGTCTGTTGACACTCATATCATTAATGCTGGTTTGTATTCGTCTGTTGTTGATGTTGTTAGGTGTCATAGAGTCTATTTTTGACCCGCAGTGGATAAGTAGAACTGCCCCATAGGGTGTTCTTGGCTGTAATCTTTAGGGAATTTTTTAATTTCATTACCAAAACCCACGACCATCGAGTCAGTCCATCTCAGAGCAGCCCTGTTTCTGAGGCTGCAAGTCTTTACAGGAGCAGACAGCCTCATCTTTCTGCTGCGGGCGGCTAGTGGGTTTGAACTGCAGATCTTGAAATTAGCAGTCCAGTGCTTTTCCTATAGTGCCACCAGGGCTCTTCATTACAATGAATAATTTTTCAATTTTAGTGATGATTAAGTCTATATAGAATCTGTAATTTAATTTTTATAAGTTGTGTGAGAAAAAGATCTAAATTTAGTATAGCCAACTGTCCTAACGTAATTTGTGTAATAATTTCTCCATTCCCTACCATTTTAATTTTAAATGATATGCTGTATGTCCAGTGCCTTAGAAGTACAGTGATTAGTCACTGCATTTAATCTATTTCAGTCTGTGTCAGTCAGTACAACACCACTTTAATGACTACATTTTAATGTTGGTTATTCCTAAACTCAGTAATGGTAATGCACTGGCTCCATACAGTAAGCACTGGGCTGCCAATCACAATGTCCACAGTTCGAGCCTGCCAGCCGCTCTGAAGGAGAATGATGAGGCTTTCTGCTCCCATGATGATTTAAAGCCTCAGAAATCCTACACAGGGTCACTATGGGTTAAAACCAACTCAATGGCACTTAATAACAACAAACTCAGTTATTAGTTATACCGTATTTTCCCATACAATGCACCCACAGAACTAATACATATAGCACACAGAGGAAAATAACACATGAAAGTTGTACCAAAAAAAGTATAACCTGCTCGTTATTTGTGTAAAATTATGGCAGCTCCTAAAGGAGCTCTGGTATTGTAGTGGTTACAAATCGGGCTGCGAACCGCAAGGTCAGCAGTTAGAAACTACCAGCTGTTTCACAAGAGACAAATGAGGTTTTCTGCTTCTGTAAAGATTTACAGCCTCGGAAACCCTATACAGGGTCACAATGAGTCGGAACCGACTCCACGTCACATAACCACCACAGTGGTAGAATGGTGGTAAAGCACTCATCTGCTAACAAGTCAGTGATCCAAACTCACCAGCCCCTCCAGAGGAGAGCAAT